CAAATTGACGACTTTCAATTAAAAATCTTCATGAAAACAACACCCTACTAAATACCTCCAACTTCGTACGTGCTTATTTATCACCCTAAACATAATTTTTGACGTGACAACGTCTTATAATTCGATGGAGCCGGCTGCACGCACGAAAAAACATGACTCATGCGGCGTTACCTCGCTCTGAGGCGTTCCATTTAAGGCTTGAAGTGCAAGCGAGAGCGCGGAACGAGCGACAAAGAGGCACAATCGGCCTCCGCGTTCGGCAGCGTTCGACATCTGTCTCTCTCCTACTTGAGTGAGCGATGCGTCCGCGTGGACAGCTGCTATACAATAATACATTTCCATTTACCTCCTTCTCTATATCCATACAAAATATCTATCAAACAAATAAAATTAAAGTTTTCTTTTGAAAAATGAAACCATTCCATCAGTATTTTCTTATGACGTTGTCACGTTCGACTATCGTCAGTAAACCGACTTTACAGACAACCGATTTTTTTTGTTTACCATTGATATTTTGTTGTCGATTTTGTATAAACAAAAGCCCGTTATAGTAGTCGCCTCTGTGTTTCGAGCACTCGCTCCAACGACGCGTTACCAACCGACCGCGAATACGATGACTTCACCGGTGCGTTAAGAAGGAAGGAAACTCTCACAGGGACCAACAGGAAAGCGACGGATACAAACGGACTCGTTTCCGACGTTTTAAATAAGTGTAACATGTGTCTAGACAAAATTTGTACCACCCCTATAGTTCTCAAACCGAGTTTTTAGCAACGTAATGCCGTTGCTTCCACAAACTAATTAATGTACTTACTGTGTCTTGTCACGCAATAACAAAGCGACTAACTGGAAGTTGATTTAGGCTTTCACGGCTGTTTTCCGAAGAAACTGGATTTCCGGATTCTAACCGCGTCTTTTTTTTTTTGATAAAATTCTCATGACAGATCATGGTGGCGTCGATAATATTCGACGTTTCGTCTCCGAGAACGTGAAGTTTCTGAAGATGCCCCTTATGATAGGAGAAATCAACGTTGAGCACTCTTCGATTATCAATATTGTTTTATTTTTTTCAAGATCATCAGGATGTTCCTTATGAGAATTATAACGATCTGATGTTAGGTTATTGCCCTTTAAATGCCTGAATCTCTTCTATTATAAAAGAAGTCAACCTTCTTTAAGTATGTAATAATGTATTTCTTCAATAATTAACTGGTTTCTGTACTTAGGAATACAGTGAAATTCGTTTATTATGACTCCGCCTATATTGACCAACCGCTTAATGTGAAGTAATTGCAGTGTTAAGTTTGGTTTTCGTATTAAATTCTGTATAGGAAAGTCTAGATATAATGACTCCGTTTAAAGTGACATATCGTTTATTATGACTGATTCTCAAGAAGCCATATCCGGCTATAGTGACCCAAATGATTATTAATAACATTTTCGCTCATTTTTCTGACCCTTCTTATGTATATTGATATTACAATTCGTCGTTCTTTTTCTTTTTCTGTTAATAAATATATACAATTTGTAGTTTTTCTCTCTATTAAACTAAATAGCTAACCAAAAGTTGTTAATTTTCTAAGACTATGCTTCGTATGACGTTCGCTTAGTATGACGTGTTTGACATTTCCCTTCGATGTCATTATAAGCGGATTCTACTGTATACGAATTAATAGTAGGTATGTTTACTATTAACCGTAAGTAATACAAAATACCTGTCAACCGAGTTCGGTCCTGCTTATTCCAACTTTGGGTCCCCCGATCTCTCCCAAAATGATCTTTAGAAATTCGGCCTTAAGCCAATTAATCCTAACCCGAGATCTACTTGACCTAAACCAAATCAACCATAGGTCCACTCGCTTATACACTTAACTATTGAAGAAAATAATTTCTAAAATAATAAATAGAAATGCCTAGTGATGAACGAAAATGATGAATGAAAGAAACGGTCACGCCTGAATAACTCCAAACTATTTGAAAGGTTGCTAATAGTGACATTTACTTTCGTTGCTACTTAATGCTCAGTGTATTTATTATTAATTCCATAACTAGAACTCTTACCTGTCGATAACTACGAGCGTCTACTTCCTGTTTCCAACCATTTGTAAAATCTACGCAAATACTTTTGACAATTAAAATAAAGGAAATGGAATCGGTATTGACACAACAGTACTGTATGAAAATAAATAAAAGTAAAACTAAAATACTGGTATGCAAGGGATGAATAGGTAGGGAAAAAATAGGAGACGAAAAATTAGAAGAAGTGGTTGATTTTAAGTATCTAGGAAGTCAGATAAGTCAGAACGGAAGGAGTAGTAGGGATATAAAGCAGAAGATAGCGCAGTCGCGAGAAAGAAGTTACTTCTATGCTCGCGAACGGTTAATTTACAAATTCGAAAGAAAATGTTAGAAGCGTTCGTAATTTGGTGTTACAGGCGACTGATGACGATACCGTGGATAGAGAAGGTTAGAAATGAAGAGGTATTAGAGAGAATAAGAGAACAGAGGACTATATGGAAGTCAATAAGAAATAGGCGAGATAGGTTAGTAGGACACCTTCCAACCAGTCTTAGGACTGACGACCTTATGATGATGATGACGTAAATATGCAAATGAAGCTTCTGAAGTATCTGGATATTGTTGAAACTTTCATTTATTTTTTAATGACATTGTTACAGGTAATTTCTTGCCTTGAACTTAGCAAATTAAAAATACATCAAGAATGGTGTTTTTGATTGATTAATTGATTGGTTGGTGTCATATCGAGAGAACTTTCCTCTTTTTCGGTTAATTGATTTTTTTACAAACTTCTATTAAGATGTACACCGCATTTCCTCTCTCAATCAAATTTCTGTGAGACCGTCGAATTGCGCGCTACGTTCAGAAACCGAACGAACTAGTTATTAACACTTTCTACATCCAAATTTTCATGACACGTACTATTTCACTTGTCACCGACCGTGAAAATGTGTCCTAGCACCAGGCATCTTCGAACGCTCAAAACGAAAACGTCGAATCTTAGACCATTCACAACTGCCAAAAGCAATAAGACATAAAACGAGGTAGAACGACACGATTAATTAAACAAAAAAAGAGTTAAAAAACAGTGGCGCCAAAAATTTTACGACGATCAGTTTTCACTTAATTTTGTTACTTATTTTAGAAATTTATACGAAAAATTTACCACGCTTATGGAAACCATTTCCATCACGCTAATTTACAGGAAATTTTCCTTTTCAGTTTTAAATCACGCACCCCATGTATATAATTGATGATAACAATGATATGTGGTCTCGAAATTGATAGCTACCAACTTTGATATCTTTCATGCTTCACTTCTTTTATTTAATTTTCTATAAAAATATTTTTTTGAGAAAACCTTGCAAGCATTTGCTAATTTTTTAAATATTGGAGTGTTTTCTAGACTAATTGTGGTGTTTGCACCATTTCACCAGCTGCGAAGATTAAGTATGATTTATATTTTCTATTTGATGTGATTGAGATATAGTTTTTCTATCTTTATGTTATAGTTTCTTCATTTCAGCAACAAATAATTCTTCTACATACGTCCTTATTTGCCCTTGTCACCCGTTTTAATTGGAAAAAAGAGACTAATACCAAAATAGTTTATTTAGCGTGAAAGATCAGAGTCAAAATAGAGTTGCAAATAATTTTATTGATGTAAAATTAACATCAGTTATTTTAAATCAAAATATTTACAACCCCATTTTGTTTCTGATCTTTTATACATTGTAATAAGAGAAAGGAAGGGAATCCATAGTTTCTTTAGCTATGGGTTCATCTAATAAGTGAAGGTTTTCGAATCGTTTTCTAAGAATTTTGGATTGTAGGCATTTATTAGCACACCACAATATCTTGTAGTTTTCAGTTTTACACAGCTGGCGTATATCAATTCGATATTGTTTTGCGGGTTGTTTTGTCGTAATTCATAGAATTTCGTAGTTCCTTCCTAAAAGTACGATAAGTGGTGATTTGTCAAGTGCTGATATCAATTGGGAACTTCAAAATTCGATAGACCATGACATTGAACCCGGAAAACAACATTAAATTTTTTTTTCTATTACCCTAAATGGCCAAATGTGAACAACTTTCATTCATCATTTTATATGATGTTTGATCGGTCATACCAGCAAAACTTTTAATGGCCAAATAAATAACATCTCTGATTGTAATACATATAACAAACCCAATAAAACCAAATCGATATGACTAATTCCAAATACGAGAACATCATTTGCAGATACAAAATAAATTCAAATATAGGAATGGTATGTTCGTTACTTCTTTTATTTTTAGCTTATGTTAATAAAACTGAACGTTTTAAGTCACAAGAAATGTGTGTCAGCAGTGTTTGCTTTGAGATTTTTACGTTGTCGAGTCGGTTTCAAATTTTACTAACCTGGATAAATATGAATGATCATATTGAATTTCGGAATCATGCCTAGCCTTGGGCATCGCTAGGCATTAGCGTATTCAACATCTCTACTAAATCGCGTAATAATTCGGACAACGAATAGAAAATTACTAATTACACTATTTAAATATAAGAAACGACGATTTCAAATACTAGGTACGTTTTTAAAAAAGGGCCTAAAAATTATAGAATACTTTCCCCTAAATCCACACAGATAGTCCAGAAAACAAGAAAAATCACTCTAAGGGAGATTACTGCTTGAATTCTGATCTAATGAAGCACAATCCCATTGTACTTAATACGATTAAGTTAATCTCACATTTTAGTTTAAACAATTGAGTAAAGGACTATTGTAGCTCTCCAGTTTGACCTTTCAAGGGGCGATGAGTTTAAAGGTCAACAAACAGATATTCTAGTCATTTCTATTACACTTGTTATTACCGTGATTCACTGCATTGGCAGGAAAATATATACGTAACTGCGACCAACGCTACCACCAGAATATTCAATGGAAAACACTTTGGGCTTATAATAAACAATTTGTATATTAATAAAAAAATCTTACCTTTGCATTTATTAGAAATATATCCTTATTGTCCATCTCCCATTGACCCGAATTTTCTTTTCAATCACTTGTGTGCAGCAACGAACGAACGAAAACACATCAAGAAAGTAAAAGTAAAGTATTCAAAAAAAAAAAACTATGCACGCGATATTGTCCGTCACCAAGTTTCACTGACCGTTAAATATGGTCAAAAAATTCTTTGTTAATTATTTAACGTAATTAAATCATGAAATTTGTACACGAACTTCCGCAATGTTGTCTTTTTTAGCAGTTCGTTACAAGTTCCTCTACAAACTTTAAACTGTACAAGTTCACTCAATTGTTTATGTAAGTGGTGTGGTTCAACACAAAAAAATTAGACTCTTACTGAACACTAAGTCCTAAACAGTGTCTTTTTCGAACTCTTAAATGTTATCGTCAAGTTCTTCAGGAGTTGTTACAGGTTTTGGAAAGAAAAACGAAACTCTCACAAGTCTGCTAAACTTTGATGGAGATCAAAGATGACAATAACATAGCAGAACTTTTCCTAAATTGTAGTAAGTTCGTAAAGAAGGTCCACTAAATATTAATATTTCTGTTTCTTCACATCGTCCTCTTTCTTTCCTTTTTCTAGAAACTAACAGAGTCCTTCTTAAGGCTTACGACTCACTCCACAATTACATCTCGTATCCAGGAGCTTTCAGACACATTCTAGAAACTTCTGGAATTTTGGTATCTCCCCAGTGTATTTCCAAAAAGTATAACTTCCTTCAAAAACTTTCCAAATTCTTCTGAAGCCGCCAGTGCTTCCCCGGTTTCTTCCCGATATTAAAACTTCTTTGAATTTGTTTTGGACACTTTTAAAGATGTTGCAGCAACTTCTCCAGATGCTTCCCGATGGTTCCAACAATCAGAAGTGATTATTTCCTTGACTATTTCACTTCGCACAAACTTATCCGGTAGAATACCAATCGAATGCATTCAACATTAGACGCCGTTGCACTGCGACGATCGAATGCGTTAAAATGAACACAATCGTCTAAGTATACGAATGAACACCTGTCGACTGCTGGTTGTTGTTGTTGTTGCTGCTGCGGAAAAGCAGGTGAATGGAAGAAGCGAGAGACGTGAAACTACAGAAAGAGACGGAGCGAGATCGCAGGATCGAGGTGATGGAAGTGAGATCGTGTAAGGGAAAGAAAAGGAGAGGAGAGAGTCTCCAACGTTTTCTTTTTTTCTTTTGCTTTTTCTACTTCTGAGATGCCGATGCTGCTGGAAGTTCTGCCGGTCGACGGTGATGGTGAACCAAGGAAGAGACCCAGGACGACGGCTAGGACTAAAAATATGTACGACGGACACGGGGTCTACGGACGGAATATTGTCGCAGTAGGCTACGACTCGAACGTTACAGAACGCATATATATATATATATATTGATATAAGTAAGTACGCATACGCATTATTTATCGTTATCACTAAATACAACGCTAACTAATAACGCGGAAACTTTTTCTGGAATAATTAACGCATACTTACATAAAATCCGCAAGTGTAGACGCTACTTAGAAATACATAACTCATTAATGGTAGAAGACTTTACTTGTTGAAACTCCGAAGTTCTCATAATAACCCTTTGTGTACTATCTGCCCCAATGTTGAATTAGAACAGTTTCAATGTTAATGTGGTTGTCATTTTATCCAGTTGTGTTTTAATTATTTATTATTTTAACTTGTACGAAAAAAGTTCGCCATGTCTCCGTCTAATGTAATACAATAACTTAATAATCTTCCTTTATGAAGGCGAAACGTCGGTTTAAGATTACAAATTAAATAAATAACACTTCACCCCTCTGGTCGTTTCCATTGAAACTGTTTTAGTTCTTATAATAAATTATTATTGGACCAATGGAAAAGTCATTTTAAACTCATCAAAATAACTTTGGAGGGAATACCGAAGAATCTGATGTCTTCCCTTTTGGTGCCTAATTTACTATTAATTTGGTCAGTACATTTATTGATCAAGCAATTTTCATGTATACACAACTTATTTTTCTTATTTATTTATGAAAAATACGTAAAACACAAAAAAGTTGGGAAGTTATTTTTTTAAATAACAAAAAAATGGCGTTAAGTTTCCTGTAAAAACTTATTAAAGATGGTGAAATACATATCATTTTCCACCACAACGATTCGCGTTAAATTTTCCGTTTTTGGAAACAACATTTTTTAAATTTTGACTCCTTCATATAGAATCCTTTTCTTTTTCATCGTTATTAATGAAAAACACTAATTTCTGGTTATAATATCAAATATATTATAATTTCACAGTAATTAAAAATTCTCTACAACAGATTATACTTGAAGCTAAAGTTTTAACTTTTTTATAACAGTGAACCTTTGGACACTTTGTAGTTTATCAGCAAGTTTTAAAAATGCTAAGAAAACAATAAGATCTATTGCATGCAATTTTTTTAGGCAGATCATCAATACCTATAGTAATTAAATTTGAAAATTAATTTAACGTAAGTTAGCCCATTTGGACCAATTTTTAAATCCAATAAAGTTCTGAATTTTGTGTATTATACAACAAAGTTATCGTAGAACAGAAAATAGCTACATATAAAAGAATTGATTACCATTACTTTGTTGGTTATATCTAACTAGCGACCCGCCACAGCTTCGCACGGGTGCAATGCTGATACTAAATATGTATATTTTTGTTTTGTTTAGATTATTATCGAGAAGGGGAAATCTTCAAAAGATACCCCCTGAACATACTAAATATACTACAGAATGTCTTTATATACAACATTCACAGTTTTTTTGTCATTAGACAATACAAACCGGCCTCCCGGCCGGTACCGCCGCAACCGCTATGTCCCTGCATTTTAAGTCTGTAATATCTTCGAAAATATTCATTTAAATTACATGCTGTAAAGGGCCATTTGATCTATATCAAATGCACAATGTATTTAAGGTACTTAATTGGATAAGAATTAATGCCGTATTGCTTACAATCGCTTCGTAAATAAGTCATTATTTCTCATAAAAAGTAAAGGATAAAAAATGGTTATTGTGGGTTATCCCTAAGAGATAGACATACACCATCGCGGACTTTTTTGTAGACCTTTTTAAGGTGTACAACACTGTGATCTATCTCGTAGGGTTCAGCCAGCGTTTGCAATGCAAGCACAAAAAAATGTGTTTTACGACATCACATTGGAAACCTCTAAAATTATCAGTGTTTCTCTACTATATTATCCATGTATTATACATATAAACCTTCTTCTTGAATCACTCTATCTATTAAAAAAAAAGCATCAAAATCCCTTGCGTAGTTTTAAAGATCTAAGCATACGTAGGGACAGACAGCGGGAAACGACTTTGTCTTATACTATGTATTGATTATAGGCATTCGTACCTTGTGTTCGATTTTAATATAATAAAATCAAAAAATTATATACATATGAAAGTAATTTAAGTACATAATTTACATTTAGTTGTAATTGCTTCCTTAATTATCAAATATTATGCAGTTATGGTTGGCTTTGTGCCTTCAACTGAAAAACAGCACGTTGTTTTATGTATAAAGTGAACCAATTACAACGCGATAAATAAGTACTTAATATTTATCAAAAAACTCACCGGCTCGGGTTCAGGATTCTCCGCACCTTCCTGCAATCAAACGACAAACACACAATTAGTTTATATCAAAGTCAATCCCCTCCGTGATTTATATTAAATAATAATTTAAAGTTCGCGTAACATTGCTTTTTATCAACAGTATTAAATCACGAACGCGTGTTAAATTCTGCGACCGAACGTAATTTTACTACAATACGTGTGCTCTATTTTGTAGATATACTGAACTGGAGGTCATTCTTTTAGGCATTTGCGCATGAACGATAAAGATCTAAGCCAACTGTTGTTGTTATCAGTCTTTCGAAGCATTGCATTCTCTAGCAGATGAAACTGATTATTATTATTATTATAACGATGCATCGTTGTCAAACGTACAATTAATTACGCATTTTCGAGTTGATTTTTTATTTCAAAAACAAAATACAGAGGTATCCTCCTATCTAACTTACAATTAGATAACAAACAGGCATAATTAATGTGGGCATTTAAGAGAAGGATTATAGTAAGATAACTAATGACATATTTACGACTTTGTAATGGACAACACAACAAAGGTGTTACAAAGAAAAAAAAAAACAGAAAATACGAAAAACAAATTAACACAAAACAATTTAGATAAATAGATACTTAACTAAAATTTTTATATGTAAATAATGTAGAAATAAGTATTATTTTAAATCAATTTAATTAATAAGAACCAGCCCTGTGTATGTACTCGTGTTAAATTTATAGACATTCTTGCTTATTAATGAAGAATAAATTCAAAGTTGACTGGTAAAACAATTATGTAAAATATGCCCACTTACGAAGTTTGGTATAAAAATTAATATTTATAGGAAGTTAAGTATTGTAAATGGAAAATCTGATTGTATAATTTTCCTCTGTTGATGATAATTTTCTTGTTTTTGCAAATCCTTCTTTTTACGTTTCAGCATATTCTGTTTTTGTGCCTCAGGTGATATGAATTCACAATTTTTTTAAAAACAATACTGTAATCATTAAATAAATATTGATCCTAAGACAGGCAAAAACAATAAATTATCCAGTTACGTCTTATAAAAAGATAAAATTTGTAATCTATACAAAAATATGCTTTTCTCTAAAAGATTTACATCTCCTACTAGATCGTCTATTCCTTGGGTCACCTTGATGGTTAAAGAGAGGTACAAGAGTTAATTATTTCATATAATTCATAATTCAAAAACTGCTTACATATTGTTCTTTAGAAAGTATGTACATAGTAAGTATTTAATATTTATTTTTAATAACCTTCCAAACGAAGAAGAATGAACATAAATTCCCTCAACGTTAGCTTCACTGATAATACTACATGTAAATTTCTTGACATACCAATACGCAAAAAAACTTTAGTCATTTATTAATAATGTATTTAACAATGTACCATTACGTTTCGCCCAGTATATACCTACAGGTAAGCAAAACCTAATAAAAAAAACCGTCCTTCCTGTAAGTATGTCTGTTTCTGCCTTTTTGTCTATCCTGGCATCTCAAACGAAAAGAATGCTGTTTAGGTACCATTATGTTATTACTATCAGCAATCTTGATAAGACAATATCCGATTTAGTCAGAGATAAGTGTCCGCAAGACAAGCATGCATGTTAGTATACATATAATATGGACCATATATGTACGTCAATGCAGTTACAATGTAATGCTTTATCCGAATACAAATTAAGTGAAATAAGTATGCCGTGAACTCACTTTTGACATGGACAAGAAAAAGGCCAAAATGAGAGACAGACAGAGAGAGCAACCAACCGATGACTCGACATCCTGATTACCTCAACACAATCTATATTACTTTTAGTAGGTACTTATGTATTTATGTATAAATGCAAGCGTTATATACCTATGTACATATGTATAAGTTTTGTATGCTGTATGGCTCCTTATGAACTGTTATATTTTACGCGTGATTTGTATGTATTATACTTACTGACCTTGCATACATACATATGTATAAACAAATTATACACATTTTAGTACATTTTGTTTTCCCGATTTATTCGCCAAATTGGCTCCATTCCATGGCATAAATTTATGTGTAAAAATGGGGGTACGAACTGAATTCAAACTGCAGTATATAAACTCTCTATAAAGAAGCTATTTATCGCGAAAATTTGCATAAAAGGTAGACATTACGTGGCTTAGTCTATTTGCCTTATATTAATACCAGGGATGTTACGGAGCTTCAACTCCGGTTCCGTTAAGTCGGAACTTCCGATTATTATTACACCTTCGGTTCCGACTTCGGCTCCGACACTTTTAAATCGGAGGTCGAAGCATAACATTGCGGTGGCCTGTGTCGACTGTTATGAACAGGTTCATAATATGAACTTCATACATGTCGCGCGGGGAATCCACCCGACTCCCACTACGTGCACTGAGCACTCTATCGTCAATTATTTTTTCATTGTTTATGTTTTATTTTATAATCGAAAATTGAAATGAAAAAAAATTGACTAAATAATGTTTTATTTGTCCTTAAATAAAAATTCTCTCTCATGCCACCACTTCTGACCCTGCCTCCGACTCTGATTCCGACTCCGATTCCGACTTCGATAAAGCAAATTTAAAAACTCCGACTCCGCCTTCGGTTCCGATAAACTACCTCCGTTACATCACTGATTAATACCTGTATACTGTATATTTCTATTACTAAATGGCCACTGAAACTCATGACT